AGCATTCGTGGGTATCTTTTTAGTGCCCCATCCAGTCCAGCCTGCCTTACCTGGCAGTATGGGACGTGCAGGCTCCATCACTTCCCTGACTTGCCCACTGGTGCTAGTTTGTGCCTGTGTCTACAGGTCTGGCGAGGAGGCTGTAGGCTTGAGCTAGAGCCAGCAGAGAAGGAAACAAATGCAGCTCGTTTCACAGGTTTCCTCTGTGATGTCACACCACATAAGCCTTTGAATTACTATGGAGCCTGTTCTACTGTTTCCTTTTGTAAAACTCATCCACAGTTCAGTCCTTCCTGAAGGAGTAATTATTAGAAGAACATACTGGTAGAAAGAGACACTGAGAGGAAAATGACAAGAGGTGGTGACTAGTAAGGAAGAGAAGATGAGGCAAATTAAAATACTGCTTATTCCTAAGTGCAAAGCATCGCAAAAGTGTCAGGAGCCGGGAAAGGCCTGAAACCCATCACACTGGCCTAGAAGCAGCTTCTCGTCATCTTCCCCTGATGTGCATGGTGACTGTCTTTAGAAAAGGTTTCTAGGATCAGGTGAAAGCCTAATATGCTGGACTGGGGTAACTCATTTAACGCCTTTCCACCTCAGTTTAACCGTCTGTAGTTTTTTGTGTTATAGGGCCACGTATTCAATGCACAAAAAATTGTGCCGTGGGTAAAGGCACTTGCCATGCAACCTGATGACTTGAGTTCAATCTCTGAAACTCTCATACAGAGAGGACAGATGACGTATGGTGTCCTCTCACTTGCACACTGGCTTCTGTGCACCTCCATAAGAAATGAATAAATAAGAGCAGCATGCAATACATAGTAAATTTCCTTGCCACTAGTATTCCACTCTAACACTGCACCACAGATGTCTCAGTTTGAGCTCTGTACCACGGCCTAGCAGATAGGTAGGTTTCGAATGATTCATCCCAGAACTCACACGAACACAGAAGCCAGCACTCAGATCCAGCCCTCAAAGCATGTAGTGAGTTTCTTCCCAGTGAATTCCCTGGTCTTACAAATGAGAAAACAGGTCTAAAGTGAGTACAGTGCCTTGAAGTGAGTATTGCCCAGGGCTGCCTATCACCGGCTGCCCCATTGGTTGTGATTTCTGGAGTGGTGCTCAGTAGAAAAGCATGGAAGTGGTTGTACTGGCTGCTTCTGTATCACCTTGACCCGAGATAGTCATCAGAGAGGAAGGATCCCCCAGCCGAAGAAGTTCCTCCATGAGATCCAGCTGTAAGACGTTTCTCAATTAGTGATCAGTGGGGGAGGGCCCAGCCCATGGTGAGTGGTGCCTTCCCTCCGCTGGTGATCCTGGGTTCTATAAGAAAACAAGCTGAGCAAGCCATGAGGAGCAAGTAAGTAAGCAGCTCCCCTCCATGGCCTCTGCCTCAGCTCCTGCCTCCAGGTTCCTGTCCTGACTTCCATTGATAATGAACATCAGTGTGGAAGTGGAAGTCTAATAAACCCTTTCTTCCCCAACTTGGAAAAAAAAAAACTTTTTGGTTGTCGTTTTATTGCAGCAATAGAAACTCTAAAGATAGTGTGTATGATCCTGGTCCATTTGGAGTTCTCAGGGTTTGGTTGTTGGTTTGGACATCACTCTACCAGTGTTTAGCACACACAGCCCAGCCCTGCTTCACACAGTTCCCTTGCTGCCAGCGTTGCCTCCCGAGTACAGAGGTATGACCAAAAGACCGTTGGTGATAATGCTCTCCATGCAGCCTCCTGACAAGAACATGGCACTCCAACTATAGTGCCTGGCCCCAAGTCAACCCCACGCTCACTGCCTGGCTAACCATGCTCAAGTTACCTGACCCCTCAGTTTCCATATTTGCAAATGCTTCCCTGCCCCATGAGAACATCATTAGAAGTATAGAATCGCTGGGTGTTTGGTTCTTAAAAATCTGGCTCAGTTGTTGTTGGACACTCCCAGCCAGCTGTAATGTGACTACACGCACTTGCAGTCCCAGCGCCACAGCCTCCAGAATAGATGGTATCTTCAGTTGCTTATTTTCCCTTCAAACTGTAGCTGTTTCCCTCCTTTCTAAGACTTCTTCCTGTGTTCCCCAGGGAGGCAATAGTTACCATGGACACTAGCTACCAGCTAACCCATGTCTGCCTTCCCCACTGCTATGGCCTCTGCTTGGTCTAGGGGAAGACAGCTCATCTAAACAATAGCGCCCAAGTCTGACTGCATAACCTTCTGTAAGAGAAAGGAGCCAGGCAGTGGTGGTGTCCACCTTTAATCCCAGCACTCGGGAGGCAGAGGCAGGTGGATCTCTGTGAGTTTGAGGCCAGCCTGGTCTACAGAGTGAGCTCCAGGACAGGCTCCAAAGCTACACAGAGAAACCCTGTTTCAAAAAAACCAAACCAAGAGGGGGTGGGGGGAGAGGGAAAGGAGAGAGTGAGTTTGTGAAGGGGGCACATGCCCTCATAAAGCCTAGCAGGGAAAAAAAGGAAAGGTAAGAATGAGATTGTAAAGGGGCAACCCAGCCTCATAAAGCACAGAGAAACCATCTTCTGCATGAACTTAGGAAAAGGACGAAGAGTCTACTGGAGAGATGGGTCAGCAATCAAGGGGATTTGCTACTCTTCCAGAGGACTTGGACTCAATTCACAGCACCCAGGGCATGGTGACTCGACCTGCCCTCTTCTGGCCTCTATGGGCACTGCAGGCAAAACACTCATACACATAAAACTTGGGTTGTTTGTTTTAAAGAAGAAATGATCACTGTGAGGAGGTAGACATACTTGGCCTGATTTAAACATTTTATGATATGTATATCTATAGAGACAATACAGATTATTCTGCTATCATGTACAACCTTCATGTTTTTAGGTGTGTCAGTTAAGTAAAGAGAATGTCTCCCGGGCCTAACACTGGCTGAGTTTGACCACACATACTCATCTCATGTGGCCTTTGACTTTCTGCCACAAACCTTTTGATGCTAGCATTGTTATCTATCCATGTATGTATGGAGACAGACAGACAAAAAGAGAGATCTTCTGATTTGCCCTGAATTACTCCTCCCAACAGCACCAGGGATGTTATTTCTATTACACATGGAGGAACTGAACGAAGGGACACTAAGTGCCCAAGACCACGCTGCATGGGGCTTAGCCCAGAGTCCAGTCCACGACTGCCTGACCAAAGCCTCAATTCTTAACCCATATGGACCCTCTCAGAAGAACTGCTGGGAGAGCTCACTAAAAATAGATTATCTGGGCTACATTCCCAGAGCACTGACCCAGGGTCTCCAGGGAAGCAGCTAAGGAAGCTGTTCTCTTCACAGGAGCCCCAGGTGGTTGACGTTTCACAGCAATGCCCTTCTTGCCTGGCTAGCCACTCCAGCTGAGGAGCAAGCATGTAAAACTGACCAGTGTCCAGGCCCAAGCCGCACACTCAGGTCTCTTCCCCCAGGCTCTGTCTTTGATATCAACCACACACATCTCATAGAGCTCAGGATGTGGAAGAACATGCTCTTACAGTACCCATGCAAGTCACAATGAAAACTATGTAGTGGCTTTTTGTGGGTCTAATGATCCTTCTAACAAAGCATGGTTTTAGGTGCTGTGATGTGTCTCTCTGTCTCTCTGTCTCTCTGTCTCTCTCTCTCTGTCTCTCTCTCTCTCTCTCTCTGTCTCTGTCTGTCTGTCTGTCTGTCTCTCTCTCTCTCTCTCTCTCACACACACACACACACACACACACACACACACAAGACTACAATCTCTTAGGGGATGGAGGAATGGTTCAGTGGTTAAGAGTGCTTATTGCTCTTCCAAAACACCCGAGTTCAGTTTCTATTACCCACAGCAGGTGGCTCACAACTGCCTGCAACTCAAGCTGGAAGATAAGACACCCTCCTCTGGCATCTCCCCCCCGCACACACACACACAAATAAATAAAAGTAAATATTTTAAAGGAATATAATCTGTTTTACCATTCATAAATGCCTCTTTTTAACTAAAATTATACATTATAGGCTTAGGAATATTGAGTGTATATGGAATGTTCTCCTTGTGAATGTTAAATATGACTTTCTCTTAAAAGATAGGCCAAAAAAGAGACTTTAATATTGCTAAATGGGAAGTGTAGACTGTACAACAATCTCTGTGGCAATTACACCATGAAAAATGATAGTCACTCTGATTCATGAAGCATTTCTACGTGCCCAGATGTGTGCTAAGCCACCATCCCTATTAAGTTTTACTCCCATTTGCTAAGGCTCAAAGAGACTAATTATCTTTCTAAAGTTCATTTAACTCTTAATAGCAGATAGGCATTTCAGACAGAGTATCAGCCCCTAATTAGCTGTACTGGTATACAGGGTCTCACACTGCACCCCAGATTAGGATATAGACATGGGAAAACGAGAACCGTGACCGGGTCAGGAAAAAATCAAAGTTCAATGATTCTTCACTTAAGGCAAAGTCAATTATTATTAATGTAAAATTGTTTTTAAAAAATCTAAGGAAAAATTTGAACTAAAACATCAGTCTAGACATTGTGACTTTTTATTTTTTTTAATGACTGGCTGTCAACATTTTCACTGCTACAGGTTTGTGGTTTAGTCTTCATTCCTAAATCTTTATCATCTTTAAGAGAAAGGGGCTGAATAGCAAGAAATCCAACCTTAGGGCTTCTGGTTCCTGATGAGCTACAGAAAGTTTCTGCCCCAGGCAGGTGATGCTGAGCACAGCAATGGTGAGGGATTTGTTCTGAGTCTTTTATGTCAGGGGAGGTTAAGACATGGCTCTGCCTGTGAGGCATCGCTCTATCCACGGGAAGATGAACTCAGGAACTCCTAGCTCTCCCACACCCACGCTGCCAGCTGCTTACAGTTAGGGCAAGTGCAGAGCACTTTCCCCTCTTGCCTGACAGCCTAGTGGAAAAACTAAATGTCTCCACAGAAAATGGGACTTCCCTAGGTCTATTCCATTTCTAGTTTTGAGAGGGCTCCTCTCCCCGAATTGACTTCTCTTTCTTCCTAACAGATATCTGCCAATGAAATTGAGATGCTTCTGATGAGGCTGCCTCGAATGTTCAAACAGGAATTCACTGGTGTGGGAGCAACATTGGAAAAGAGATGGAAGTTGTGTGCCTTCGAAGGAATAAAAACGACCTAACTGATGGCCAGGAAAGCTGGAAACAAAGCTGTCCGAAGCCGGCCAGGGCTGTACAGTGGAGGAGTAGGAGGGTTGGGGTCGGCCAGCGGGGGACCTGTGTGGAGCCACCAAAGCCTTGTTCAGTGACATCTGTGGCGTTTTCTTGTGAGTGGAAATGTAATTGTGTACCAGTTCTTTAAACTAGACGAAGCCTCATACTTTACTATGACAGACCTGTCCCTACGAATACCAAGCAATGATTCCACAGTCACACAAAATCCAAAACAGGCATTGTTGCAGAACAGCGCACGACGGAGCAAATGCTTAAAGTTAATGGCGGTGTAGCAATGGTGGTTGCTAGGCTACAGAGTTGTATATGTAATGTATAGCTGAAAACATTAAATTACATTTTCCTGAAGGTCTTTCTGTTAATAAAACAACAAAACAAAAAAAGTGATTTTACAGTGGGGAAAAAAAATCATACCAAAAGAAAACTTGAATATGTGTCTGAACAGTTATTGTATTTTGTAAATTAAGTTATATGCTGTTCCAGGGACTTTTGCCTTATTGAAGAGGCAGAAAACTATGATTGGACTCCTTGAGAATGCTTTATCAAGGATATTATTTTTCTAATGTAACAGTTCTCCATCGTGCGTTCTTTTCACATGGACTGCATAACGATTTTCATAAACTGTAAATACAGGGAAGAACCTCAGCTGCTGTCCCGTGCTTGGTATGTAACATTCAGGTTTATGCATTAAAAACATTCGGAAAATATTCCTGTTACAAATTTTATAGCAAAGATATTAATTTTTTTCAATAAATCTTGACTTCTACCATATTGGTTTCGTGTAATTTTTTGTTGATACATTTCATTCCTTCTTATAAAATACTTTTCTTATTTTTTAGTCCCTGTGTACTAGACTACTACTTTAAATATATTCAATATGAGACACTAAGAGAAAAGGAATTGCTAAAAATAGAACATAGACAATTGGAGAGAATTCAGTAGATACGGATTTGGAGTAGATTGGAGTAGATACGGCTAAAGTACCAAGATAAAAGCATTCAATGTAATCACCACCATACATCCTGTTGCTTTCTGTCCTTGTGGCAGGTTGCTTTCATGTCACTGTGGCATTTTTATATTTGTGTATCTTCTGTAAAGCATGTGTTAAAAGGGGAATGAAGTCAGTCACAGAAAATCCAACAATTTAAACAATTTGGCCTTCCCTTCTTCTTTTTGCCACCAGGTAGAGTAGACTGTGGGCCTAAGTTCCCTTTCCTTCCTGCTTTATTACATCAAGCCCCCAAAAGACAAGCATTCAAGATATTAATTTAAAATGAAACGTTTTCAGAAAGACAGCTGAACAATGAATGTCCTTTGAAGTTATGTAAAGATAGCCATAATTTCCTATTGGACATTATTACCCTCAGGTTCTTTTTATTGAACCCTGAAAATTAAGGCTCTTATTCATAACTCCCATAGCATCTGCACGTGTGTTTTGTTCAGGCTCAGTGCCAATGCTGTGCGTGTGGATGTGAATGAGAAAAGACCCTCTCTCTGCTTAATGCATTCAGAGTTCAGTCTGAAACAAACATTTCCCCCCAGTTACTAGATGTGAGTTTCATAGCAAGGAAGACGTGACTGGAATGCTGTAGGAGTCCAAGCAGATGCCAGTATTGCCTGGGCATGGTGGCACAGGCCTATAATCCCAGCACTCAAGAGGCTGAAGCAGTAAGATTAAAATTTTGAGGGCAGCCTGCTCTCCATAGAGAGATCCTGTCTCAAGAAAGCAAACAAAAGCAAATCCTGCTGTCCCATTAAACACTGGCAGCATTCCTTACCACCTGCTGGTGCCCATGGCCACCATCATCCCGACAGATTCCTAGACTATGGCAGTCAGAAAGCAGAAGACATCATTTGTAGACAATCCTGTTATAAAGCAGCCTGAGGTTCGCCTGAAACTGGGGATGGGTGGCCGGGAGGTGGCAAATTCCATGCAGATTCTAGTCACAGTGATAAATGGTTGCATAGGGATGCAGGAGAAGGCACCACGACCTCACTCGCTCTAACCACAAACACAGGAGTGTTTTTATGCATGCTGCATGCTCCTGAGTATTGCCAGGAGTCACATCAGACAATGAGACTGCACAGAGTGGAAACTGTAACTCAGGCTCTGAACTTACAAATGAGTCCAGAGGAATACACTCACATGGCCCTGCAGGTGCTCTGGGGGCTCCAGATGTTTATTGTCCCAACCTCTTTAATGCTTGTGGTAACACTATATGAAGAACTTGTTAGTGGCCCCTTTTGTCACACATAGAAAGTGAAGCTTAGACATTTATATGACTTGGCCTTATTTGGCAATTTGCAATTTTAGTCTGAGATTTAAACCCAAGGTAGACTCCAAAACATATCCTTCCTTTTGCTTAGACCTACTTCTAGCTTAGTCTGTTCCCAGACTATCTATGACCTCTTTTCCTATCAGAGGTAATTATCTGGGCAAATTCTTACCTGTGTTTTTATTTAAGTTTATCTTGTGATAAAAATCTATAATATGCTTATTTTAAGCATTCACAAGTATACAATTTGACAACATTAAACACGTTCACATTAACATTCACAACGTTAATAAATCGCCACTACTGTATCCAAAACTTCTTAATCACCAACAAACATCAAGGACTGGCTGTCCTGGAATTAGCTCTTATAGACCAGGCTAGTCTCAAACTCACAGAGATCTGCCTGTCTTGTCTCCCAAGTGCTGGGATTAAAGGTGTGTGCCACCACCACCTAGCTATTCTCTCCTTAATAAACAATAATGCTTTACCCACTCCCACTACCATCAAGCCTATGATTTCTTTTTGTCTCCTCAAGTCTGCCCATTGTTACAGAGTGTGTCCTCCTGTCTACCATCCACTCAGCTTATGTCTTAAAGGTTCATTCACACTGTAGCAGGTATCACAAACTTAGCTCTTTCTATGAGGCTGAATAATATTCCCTGGTTTGAAAAATCCTGCTGTCTCAGTCCATCTTTATCTACTTCTACTGCAGCAAAGAAAAACCATCAAGCTATATGTAAAACTAATAAAAGCCAGCTTTCAAATATATAGAAAAGCATAGTTTCATCTACATAACCATATTAGTTTCATCAAGAATGATAAAAATGAAATGACACCCTCAAAGAACTAATAAAAATATATATTAAAAATGAAATGACAAGTTTGCAAAGATGGTATTAATTGTAGAAAATACAACTAAGCAAATTCTACACAATGGATAGAGACAAAACGCTTTTTCTTCTTAGTAAGAGTTGGTACTGCCTTGGGAACAGCATCAACCAGTCACCCAACAAGATGGGTCCATTGGTGCAGTAGTGACATGCCTGTCTTGAGAGGTAACCAACAGCTGCTTGATTAAAGACCCACTCAACAGGAGGTAACCCATGCTTGGTGCTACTACCCTGGCTAAGGACCATTGTGGTGTCTTAGCTACAGGTCCCATTGCTGCAACAAAACCAAAAACCAAGCTGGGGAGGAAAGGGTTTATTGCGCTCACCCTTCCACATTGTAGTCTATCACCAAAGGAAGCCAGCACAGGAACTCAAACTGGGCAGGAACCTGAACACAGGAACTGATGCAGAGGCCATGGAGGGGAGCTGCTTACTGGCTTGCTCAGTCTGTTTTCTTATAGAACCCAGGACCACCAACCCAAGGATGATACCACCCACAATGAACTGTGCCCTTCCTCATCAATCACTAATTAAGAAAATACCTTACAGCCAGATCTTATGAAGGCATTTTTTTCAACCGAGATTCCCTCCTTTCAGATGACTCTAGCTTGTGTCATTGACATACGACCAGACCGCACACAATGGTTAGAGAGGTTACAGACCATAGGGGAGAACCTACATTTATCATTTTGCTTTTATCATTTGCCTTCTAGATGCTTGTCTTTAGATTCATACATTATTCTGAATCATGCCCCTCCAGAGAAGCTTCTTTTTACAGAAGATGACAACACAGAGAACCACAGCTGGCCAAAGTGCACATAAGTGTCTCTGGAGTGCTCAGCCATACAACTGTATCATATTCCCTTCCTCTCCACAAGGCTGACATCCAAGAAGAGACCAAACATGAAACCTAAGGTTCGGGAGGATAGCTGCAAACAGTATCTTCTGCACATTACAGGACTGCTGCACAAATGGAATTCACAGCAACTGGGGTCACCTACACAAGACCTGCTGTACAAGATCAGTCTCTCAATAGTCAATAGATGTTCCAGGATGGCCTGTTGGAGGAAGAGCTCACAAAGTCCCTCTCCTACTTGAGAGCTGCTATGGCCAGGCAATGGCTTTTGGGGAGGCACCAGGTAGATTCTCCATGTCATAGTGGACATCCCTACAGCCATATGCATATGGGCAGCACTAATTAGACTCAGTAACTTTCACACACACACACACACACACACACACACAGAGAGAGAGAGAGAGAGAGAGAGAGAGAGAGAGAGATACCTAGTAGAACCTCAGCATCAGACATGAGAAACGGTCAGGAGAGTACAAGAGGTGCCCAAAACAGTATAGGGTACTGTAGTTGTTCTTGGTCGCCTTCCAAGATCCCACGGCTCAACACACTATGTACTTCAGACACAAGACTCGGAAGATTTGAGCTGAATCTGACCCTAAAAGCCTCCTCCCTGGGAACTCGCTTTCATAATACCAGACTCATACAAGTTGCCAGAGGGAGGGAAACAACCCATAGTCCTGTCCAGCTGTGATGTCTATGAACCACAGCAATGACCAGCGTGGCAAGATATTCCTAAAGGCACAATAATGGCACTCCTGTCTTGGCAGTAACCAGCAACTGTATAATTGGACATAAGGTCTACTTAACAGGAGGGAAACAAGCCTGGTACTAGAAACCCAGCCAATACTGGCCAAGGCTAGTGGGGTTATGGATCTGAAGAGAGGAACTTACTACCACCACTTTACTAGATCAATATAATTCCTAACTGCATTTTAAAACATAGCCAAATGTATAGGTTGCTTTTTTTTTTTTTTGCTATGATAAAAACACCATAAACAAGGCAATTTAAAGGGGGAAAAAGAATTTATCAAGTCTTATGACTCCAGAGAGTTAGTGTCAATGATGCTGCAGTAGAGGCATCAGCCATCAGATGTGGTAGCCAGAAAAGAGGCTGAGGGATCACGTCTTGGACCATAAACACAAAGCAGAGACAACACACTAGGGATGGCACATGGCTGTGAAACCTCAATGCCTGACCCAGGTGACACACTAACTCTAGTATGCCCACACCTGCTAACCCTACTCAAACAGTGCCACCAAATGGAAACCAAGTATTCACAGGTCTGCACCCATAGGTACCTTCTCATTCAAAACAACACACCACGGATAAGTGTAGCTGTCACCCCTCATCAAAACAGCTTCTCTTTGCAGCGGTCAGAGACCATTGCAGACAACCATACCTGGTCAAAATGCAGAGAACAGCTGATTGCAGAGTATCCAACCCTGATGGATACATCTACAACATGGAACAACTCCTATACTCAAGGCACAGAAAACATTTCAGAAGAGGGGCCAGGAAGATTATAAGAGCCAGAGAACCAGGAAGTCTTCTGTGAGATGTAATCTCCTAGAAATGGCAGGGAAGCTATACCCATGAAACCACAATAATACGGTTGCCCAAACAGGACCTGAACCATAGGCATACTAACATTGTCTTAGGGTTTCTATTGCTATGATGAAGCACCATGACCAAAAACGAATTTGGAGAGGCAAGGGTTTATTGGGCTTACAATTCTGTATCACTGTTCA